ACGATTGAAGTATAATCTCAACTCTGTCAGAGCGGAAAATTTTTGAACACATTAATCCCTTGCCGCTCCATTGATACTTCAACTTCATGAAAATCTGGAACACATTTATTATCTTTGTAACCTTCGTCCTGATTTTTAAAAAGTATTGTTAAAGTTTTAAAAAGTAAATTGCATGTACATTTGGAGTCCTAATCTCAGATAATTTGAATTGAATCAAAATATTTTATCTAAGTATTTAATCCAAAAATCTATTTATATGGATACGATTTTTTACACAATTTAAATTCCTAAAATTTTCTTATTATCAGTTCACATTTTATTTCGAAGCAAAATATTTTAGACATATTCTAAAGGTCATTTCCCTAGAAATTCTTGAAAAAAAATAACTTAATTGTACAATAAAAGTTACAAAAACAACGAGGAATTTACTATTATAATGAGCTGACTTTTCAATAATCTCCCATTATCTAATTTAACTATTTTAATATTCCACTCAAGTTTAGTAAATATAATTTTTATTAACGTTTTTCTTTCTTTTAATTTGTTAGCAAACAGTTTTTTTGTGTAATTATATTTATATAGTAACTAAAAACCTATTTAGTTTCAATTTCAGTTTCTATTTTAATTGAATATTAGATGCATACACATTATACATTGATAGTTTATCCTCTGAATATTTTTTAAAACATCATGCTATGGAAGCAATATAAGATATAATATAGCACATTTTCCAATTCATATTTGGGTTTTAATTTCGAGTAATTCTCGTATATACAGAAAAATCTCCTTTTTTCATGCCTAACAAATGGGTTGGAAATTTGAATCAAATTGTTTTTAAAAATCTGCATCTCAAACTGGTTTAATAGACAGGCTGAAGAACAAATAAACTGACGCACATTCATCAAAAGTTCATTCACACTTTCGAAAGCATACTGACGAACAAAAACAGTTTCAGCAATAAGGTTACGAAGAAATCATGTTTGTTACTCTACTAATAAAAATCTACAAGGCAACGCATCGAAATCGGATCAGGCAAACCAAAAATAGTACAGGACAAAGCAGACAAATTCTCCTGAATTTATTCAGTTCTGGAAAAGACTTAAGTTTTAACAAGAAAATTGGAGTCACGTCATAGCTACACTAATTAAGGGATAATTATTCTTAATCATTTAAGACTCACCTTACAACTAAATCTTAATACATTATATACCTAAAACTTGTTAGTTTCTACCAAAGTCTTTTTACCAAAGATTATATGTATTCGAAATTTAGTTTCAATATTATGCGGAACCTCCGTGAACGATCTCTAATAAAGCGATCTCAAAAAAATTTGAGCTTTCTACTTTGCAAAATACTTTAAGATAACAATTTTTTACAAAATAATTTTAAATTTTATCGTTAATAAATTATACACCGATTTAGTGGAAAACTTTGCTAAAAAGAATTAGTTTTGTTGTTGAAAAATCATTACAAAAAGCTGGACCCCAAATAACTTTTTAATAAAAGAAACTTATTTTTCTGTTATTAATTTTGATAGTTTCAAGACTAAACATTAACACATCTATTTCATATTATAATCAGAAAGTTTTTTCCCCTTTAACATTTTCTAATTTAATTGAGTTCTTCAATTCAACTTATAATATATTTTCAGTAAGTAATTTAAAACAAGCAACGTCTTTATTCTCAAATGAGTACTTACCGACAAGTACTTAACTTTTGAAATTAATTTAATAGCATCATACATAGTAATAATATCAGAAATTACAAAAATGGTGAACATCAGTGTGCGTTGCATTGCACATATAGAATCTAAATTTGTGTGTACATATTGTAAAAAATTTACTACTCGTATTATCTTACAGAGTATAACGCTATATACACATAAATTCTCTATAAATTAATTTTAATGTTTTATAACATTAAAATTAAGTAATTTTTACAAACACACATGTATGTATCTACATACATATACATTTACTTTATCTGTGGATTACTACACATTATTTTTTATCTGTATATTATTTTGTATCTTTGTTACTCAATTCAATATTATTATTAATTGAAAGAATAGGTAATAAAAAGCTTAAAAAAATGAACATATTGTACATACATACATAGCACACTGGTACATACATATAAACAAATAAGTTTGCGTTAACTAGAACTTATAATCGAGGCAAATTTCATACCATAAATTTTGAACAATACAAAATTTTATTTGAATAATTCATTCACTTGCCAAGTTGCCAGATATATTATTCATACTAGAATTAGCTTGATAGGCCACTTTTGTTTAACACATAAGGTACATACATAAATACATACATTCCTGTAATACAATATATTGATGTATATTCTGTAGTACGTAGCAATAGTGTGAATAAAAACAAAAAGAAAAGACTTTTTCTTTTCTAAATAAACAATTGCAGTCAAAGTTCTTTTACTGTCATTCAATAAACTAAGTCATACGTACTATAAGCTATAAATACATACATACATATATATTATTATTTTATACTGTCTGTATATATTTTCTTTTATATTATACATTCGTCGTGTGTGAAAGTGAAACTGAACAAGTCTAGCTGGCATTTTATATCTTAAAAGAGAACATTAGAATTAATTTAAATCAATTCTCAAAATCAAGTTTTTGGAATATTTTTTTTCACTTTTATTGTTATGGTTTATTGTTTCGCATTGTAACTTGTTTTAGATTCTCACCTAACAAGAACTTTTTAACAAATTTCAATTTTCTTAAACTTTTAATCTCTTAATCTAAAAGAATAAAAACAATCAGTTTGACATGACAAAGTAATATTTAATAATAATTCACAATTCGAACGTCATTACAAGTCTTATTTAAAATATTACAATTAAAACTAAGAAAACTCAAAAAATTAAAAATGTAGAATATAATGGCAACTCAACCTCAAGAGTTAGGTTTCTAGAGTTGACACAATGTTTTCGAAATATTATTTCGATATTACCGTCTAGAATGGATCAATCTATCATATTAGTAATAATATCTTTTTGACAATATGTATAACGTAATAAGACTAGAAGTTGGTTGTATGAAAATCACTTTATTAGGGCAATTTATTAGTTTTTACAACGTTATTTACACAATGTCAAATCAACCTTTTAATTTATATAGCTTAAACGTGTCCAAAATTTCACTGATTTTAAAAAGTCAGCAAGTTTATGAATCCTATATTATCCAAATGCCGATAAATCAATGTCAAATAAACAATATTTAAGAAATTTAATTTTCTAATTGATGGATCAATCCACTATCATTTGCACTAATTCAGAAGTTGGCAAAGTGCGGTGTATGCGGCCCATTCAACTTGTTCAAAATGTGGACTATCATACTGCTTGTAAGATATTAAAGATTGTGACTATTAAAATTTTTCAAAAAAAAAATTTAAAATTCATTCATAAATAATAGATATACTTATGTAGAAACATAAAATTCTATACAAATTTATTATTTGTCAAAACAAAACAATCAACAAAGTCAGTTGGAAATGTCAGTTTTCATGTAATGTGGTCCATAACTCGAGTGGTCCATACTCATACTGACTTAGTACATATTTGCCATAACCCACAAAAGTTTGCCGACGGTTGCTGTAATTAATTTTTCGAGTTTAATGTATTCGTTTGCTTAGAAATCTCATCGATTAAAATATTATTTTGACATAAAATTCTAAACTGAGAAGCAAAATTCAAAATCATAATTATCAGGAGCACCTAACGGTGTACAAAGTAGCAAAACAACGATCTTTCGTGAATTTTATTATACCAAGAAATATGAACGACTTGTTTTTTCTTTTTTAAATATTGTTCACTTCTCTTATGTTAAAAAGAAAAACGCTAAATTGAGTTACTTAAGCTTTTTTTGAATAAAGCAAATAAATTAAGAAAAACAAAAAAAAATAACTTTCACACACATATAATTTATTTAACTGTATATATGTATGTATATTGTTTTTGATTAATTTTTTGATATACAAATTTATATTTTCTTTGTTTTTTTTTTTAATTTTCAGTTTATCTTCAACCACGAGAAACATATTCTACTGAGATTTTTCTCTTATAATATGCTATACAAATTATAAGATTACATTATTGCAGTGCGCGAGTTTTTTATATTTACCGCAGTATAACAAAAAAACAAAATACAAAATTAATAAAAAGAATCAAAACAAAAATTGTATAAAAAAGATGAAAATTTGAATCGTAAAATATAATTACGGGATCTATTTTTCTTTTTGTGCATACAATGCAAAATTTTAATTTTATTTTTTAAAAAACGCCAGAATTATACATAAATACAAGATAAATGCAAGAATCATGCAATTTAATTTACAACGACAGCATTGAATAAGATTAAAGAAAACGACAGCACTAAACCAAAATAGCATTACAACATCAACATACAAGTAATGATGAAAAGTGAATTTCTCATTAAATTTTATTAAAATAAGACAAGAAAACTGAATCTTGATTCAATTTATGACTGAAATTCAATATATTTTATGTTGATTTCTTTTTTAAATTTAAATAAAAATCATAGTTACATATTACATTTTGTACATTTTAAATGATGTATGTAATTAAGGAATTTTTTAAAGAGTGAAAATTAAAAATGAAAACATTGTGAATTAAATAAATGAAAAGAAAATAATTGTGAATAATTAATAATAATAAATTCAAAAAATTCATAAGGAAATAATATCAAAAATTTCGGTAAAAAAATTAAATTATTAAATCAAATAAAAATATTTTTACATAAATATTACATATTTTTTTAGCTTGTAAAGAGAAAAAATATTAAATTATAATAAATTTAATTTTAAAAAACAAATAATAAAGTTTATTGTTTTAAAATAAAAAAAGAAAATTAATTAAATATTCGTTCAACATTTTTGAATTTATGCTTATTATTTTTTTTCTGTTTTAATAACATTGAAGTGTGCTAAAATGAATAAATGGTACTCGTAGAAGACCAAGTAACCAGTTTACTTACTATCAAATCAATATGTATACAATTAAAAAAAAATAATTATTTTTTAACCGAAATATAAAAAAGAACAAAATAATGTTTTATTATTCGTGTATGAAAATTTTAAATTACAATTAATAAATATGAAGACTTCTGATGAAACAAATTACCTTATGGAGGATATCATATCAAATGATTTAAATACACGTGATATACCAATTTTTGAACAACTAAAATCTATAACAAATAACACAGAAGAATTAAAATGTTATCATGAATTTTATAATGTAAGTAATTTTATTTTCTATATTTATACATATTATTATATTTTGGCTATTAGTCTGGATATTTGTTAGTACATAAATTATATCTAACATTGTATGTTCACTAAATTTGAGAAATAATTCTTGAGTCAAATCTTAATTGTGTATATATAATTGTAATAATTCATAAATAATTTGGATATTGGTGCAGTCTACTTACATTATTTAATGCTCTAAATATTTCAACAAAATTTTATGCAATATAGATACAGTATTAGTTTGTTTACGAGAAATTTACATGAATTTTCGAAAATAAAAACATGTACATATGAGTAAATTTTTAAAAAGATGCTCTTAAGTATTTACGAAAATAATTTGAATTTTATATGCATATGTACTTAAAGAGAAACCAACAAATGAGATAAATATTTTGCATACAACGCTTATAATGCAAAAAAAAAATAACAAACCGACCTAATATATTAATTTTAAATTTCTACACAAAAATTAACATTTTATTTCAAATTTCTTAATTTTAATGAGAAGGAATTTTATATTTTATTTTAATCATAATATTCAACAAAGCGTCGGAAAAACTTTTGTGTCCATTTTGGAAGAAAAAAAAATAATTTTTTTTTTTGAAGAAAATTAAGCCAAATATTTCTTAATACAATTGCAGCTCAATTGGAAGAGCGTTCGGCTTGAAAGCATGACTGGTTCGATTTCAGTTTGAGGAGCATTTTGTTTTAATTTTGCTGCCTTTACTAGTTCCTTTGGTCGCATCATTTACGTGTTCTGCAGTTTTGCGAAGGAATTTTTCTTGTTTATTCCTAAAAAGAAAATTAATTCAATTCTTAAAATATATAAAAGAAATAACAAAGCTGCACAATAAAATTGAGTTAACTTTTAAAATATTTTATTCATATACATATATACATATATATATAAATAAAATATATATGTGTACAAGCATACATACATATATATTTGCAAAAGAAAACTTAAAAAACTTTCGAAAGTTTATCAAATTTTAATAAATTTCACAAAAAAATTATTAAGTATGTCAAAATGTTATTAAAGTGTAATTAAAACGGTACTTATGTATATTAGGAAAATTTAAAGTTATCATTATTTTTATTTTTGAGAACTTGTGTTATTGAAACATCTTTTAGAGATAAGAAAAATCTACTGCTATCAGAACACAAAATTTTTTATAAAATTTTTTTATCAAATATGCTTAAAAAATAGATAATAAAAAAAATACTTACATACATACGAGTATATATTTGGGTTATCATCTAGTTAAGCAAAAGTTAGTGCTCAAATTGGAAATCACTTAAGTAGAAATTTTATGTAATTTCGTTTTGGTATTATATGAATAATTAATAATTAAAAACAGTATGAATAATTATAGAGAAGTAAAATGGGTAATGGAAACCTTTAATTTTATTAACAATAAGGTTAAAATAACTTCATAATTATTGAAATCAAAAAGCTTTTTTAGCAATTTGTGGCTTTAAATGGAATGTAATGACGTTGAATTGAAGAAACTCTTATATACTTTACAACATTTACTTTGGTAATAGAAAGAAAAATCGAACCCCATGACATTGGAGGAATGAAAATAAAATATTAAAATTGATTTTTGCTCCCTATTTTCTTTTTATTTTCACTTTATTTCTTTTTTGTTTTTGACCCTTATTATTTTTTATTTATTTCTCATTTATTTGCCTTTTCTTTTATATTTGTTAAATAATCTTTTCATATTTAAAGAAATTCAACTTTTTGGAATTCTTTTTCTTTTCTTAAAGGCATTTAAAATTTTGAAATACTTTTTTTTTCCTAATACAGAAATTTTTCATTTTTAAAGCATCAAACGTCCATTTAAAAAGGAAGAGTGTAGAGAAACGGTAGGAAGACGAAAAACAAATTTTTTCATATTTCAGTAGACTAAACTTATTATATCAAATAAAATAAACAAAATGAAAAATTTTAAAGTTAATTTATGAAACCTTTTTCCAAATGAGTTGTTTTTTGCATATATTTATATCGCATGTGATTCGTGTCGATGACCTAACTTTAAAAATTGCACTTGGAATTCATGTGATTCAATTTGAAAACAAAACAAATTTTTTTTTGGCATTTTAATTTTATTTCTCACGATTTGAATTTTTTTTTTTTTAGAAAATCTGTTTTAGATCACATTTATTCTGTATATATGTTTATTATGTATTATTTCAGATAAATATTTAGACAAGAGCCGACCAACTATTTTGTGAGCCGACACAGCATTATTTTGTGAGTCACAATACAATTTTTATATATTTGTCAAAAAGATCTATTTCAAGCAAAATCATCTTGACTTGAAAATCATCTTTCTTAAATCGGAATTCAAAGTTCAATTCGATGCAAAGTTTATTAAAAAATTTATACTTATCAAAAATGTGTTAATAAGAATTTGCATAAATAATCAATTGCGAATAACAAAATCTAAAATCTAAATTGTATCAAGCAAAAATGTTGGAACAAGTTTCTCATTAATGTAATAATTAATAAGTTTTGTAGGATGTTTTTATATCCGATAGAATTTAAACATCTACTATAATTCCTTATTTCAATTCATTATTCTAAATATTATGCACCGTATTTAAAATATGTAACTACATATTACTCCTAAGTTGTAAATGTAAAACTCCTAATTAATTTTTTCATATTTCACTCAGAACCAGAACTATATACACATATCAACCGTATACCCTTTTATATCTTTTCTCCTCTTTTTTACTATAGGCTATAACTATAACATTATACGTGAACGTGAAACCAATTTTACTCTAAATAAATTAAAATGATAAAAATAGAATCAATATTTTTTAATTTATTGTATAAATAATCTTTTACAATTTACATATGTACATAATGTATGCGAGTTTCGGATTTTTTCATGATTTTTATTATTATTAATTGCTATAACAATTTGTTTATTATTACTTTTGATAGATTTATTGAATTGAATTGATTAATTAGTGAAACAAAAACGTTATTGTTAGTTAGCATATAAAAATTGTTTAACACGCAATTTACAACATTTTTTAATTTAACTTTTGAGAATAAATTTTATAAATAAATTTTTTGAAGAAAAAAAATTATTTAACCCCAAAGTTGGCACTCAAATGAGGTACTCATATAATATATACAAATTAACGAGGTAAGTTAGTGAAAAAATACAAATTTAGTAAGTTGCTCCTCAGGAAATCGAAATGATTCTTTCAAAAATAAAATTTTCATAAAAATTGTTCAAAAAATAAACATTTATTTGGCTAAAAGGATTTATTTTCGCTTTATATTATTCCAAACTTTATCCCGAGTAAATCAAAGACCTTAATAAACAACTTATTTCTGTTAACATTGGTTAACATTATTAAGAGAATTAAGTTGTTTAATTAATATAGTATACATAATTATACTTTTTCTCTGGAAAAATATTAAAAAAGAAAGGAGCTTTAACAATATGTTTCAAGGATAATCACAATGATACAAGAGAAATAAATTATATGTACATTATATCTGTAAAATGTACTTAAACAATTTTACAAAGATATATATCAAAAAAATTTTTCAAAATAATGCGTTTCTAAAGAGGGTTAAGGATAAGTACAAAGTCTTCCTGGCATGTGACGTTTTTCTTATATTTTCAATAAGTATACAATTAACAGAATACGAAAGCTCTTTAATATTCAATGATTATTGCGCGACGTAATTCAATGACGTAATTAAACTGTTTACTAAAAAATTGCATATCATTCAGTATGTTATTCCTTATATTACTTTATCTCTGTTTTTGCTTAAATGTCCAATAATATAACGTATATGAATTATTTGGTATTATAAAATTCTCCGAATTAAAAAGAACTAAAGTAGACTTCGAAAATCCTCTAGAAAATTTTATTGCAAAGTAATTATCAATCCGATTTTCTTTGTGCAAGACTCACTTTAGACGAAATGGTTAAGGTTATCAATATCTGCCGAAAGAACGCAGTTTCAATAACCATTTTTAATTTTGTTTCGTTTTTTCCTTAAAAATGCTGGTTTGTCGAGTCTTAAGGAGAATAAGTTTTTATTATTCGATCAAGAGCCATTTTTCTTCTTATTCGTTCCTCTAATTCATTACCTATATGGTATTTATTTGCCAACAATATTTTTTTAAATCATTGCTCTGTCATTACTATAAATAACGTTTTATTTAGGAAAAATTTCAAAAATGTGTAATCTTTATAACGTTTTAATTTAAATAATTAAGAATCTACGGAATACATATTTCAAAAACACTTTAAATACCTTAAAGGAAGCATAAATACTCATGAAAAATTTTTTTTTCAATTCATTATCCGTAATACGTCTTGTAATGAATTCCAGAAATTATTCACTAACAAAGTAAATGTATAAAAAAAATTTTATATTATCTGTGCAATATTCAAACATAATTTACCTTTTTATTTGATAAAAAAGTCTCTTATAGGTTTCTTTCTGACATTATAACACAACGAAATATAAATTTATATGTATCCAAGAATCCAATTAACATTTTTATAAGGACTTACAAATAAAATATTGTAATGTAAGGATTCTGTTGCATTAAAATAATATTACATAATCTTAATTAAATCTGAATATTATTTAAATTTAATTGCATCAAGAAATACAAAAACTATAACATTAAACCATAACAGGAAATGAAAGTTTTTGCTTTATATGAAGAGTAATTTTTGTGTTATACTTATACATTCACTTAATGTTTGACTCCAACAACATTCATTAAATCAAAAATAAATCGCATTTGGATAATAATTATATAAAAATAAAACCATGCAAGTAATGAAATTGCTCATTTTCATTTTAAAGAGCTTTTAGATCATCTTATAAAGAAGAAGCAGCTATTAAATTCTACCTTAAAATGCCTTCACCAAAATTATTATACATCAGCTTTGATTTCAAGTACATATTGTCTTTTTCTAGCACACACA